TTTTGATCAATTTTGGGTATTTTGGCAAAATTTGGGTCCCAAGGGCAGTTAGGTAATTTGGAGGTGCCTCGGGGCAAAAGGCCAAGTTGGGCATTTCAAATAAAATTGGATAGATATCCATTCTAAATGAACCATGGATCAATGAAATCCCCATTTTGGGCTCTCATGTATTGATCTTAATTAGTGTATTGTGAAGATATAGTAAGGGTATAATGTACCTTAGCTTCAAATCAACACCCAGGGTCAATCCTGAGGCCAAGTAACCCTATAAGAACTCTTCTTGAGCTCTCCCATAATGATCTTACCTTCTAAATATTAGAGGTTAGGACCAATATGTGGAATCTCAAGTTGAGCAAAGAGAAGAGTTTGAAATTTCTAATGGTGAGGATACCTTTTTCTAGTTTTCTAAGACTAGTCAATAGGAAAGTCCTATGGCTAGACCTAGGCTACTAAAGAAGTTTCTAGACCTCAACCAAAAGTGAGGTCAACAGACATAAATTCAATCCTCACTGTAAATCCTCAGTTTGCAGTCCCTCCTTAGGATTATGAAATTCGGGAGGCTTTTCACTCTATTGATGCTAATAACGTAGTGGATTCTAATGGTTTCACATTAAATTTTTATATGCAATATTGGGATATCATTAAACATCACCTAATTTCTATTATTCAGAGTTTCTTCCTTAGTACATTGCCTCACAAGTATTTTAGTTGTTCTTCAATTTTATTGCTGCTAAAGGAAAATTTTAAATATATGAGAGAAAATTTCAAGCCAATCAGCCTTACAATAATGCTATCCAAAATCATAAGCAAAGTTATTGTTAAGAGACTTCAACCAATTCTAAATGACATCACAGTCCTCAACAAAGTGCTTTCTTTATTGGTAGGAACATAGTAGATAATGTACTTATTACCCAAGAGCTGCCTTTGAATTTGGAAAATTCTTATAGAGGTTGTAATGACATTCTGAAGCTGGATATCAAGAAGCCATATGATAGTATATAATAGGAGGTTATTATGGTTGTGCTTAAGGTAAGGGATTTTACAAATGAGTTTTATGATCTCATCATGATGCTGTTGGACAACAAACTCTATTCCATTCTCATCAATGGCCAAAACTATGGTCATTTCAAGTCAGGTAAAGGGTTCAAGCAAAGTGACCCACTCTCCCCCACACTCTTTATTCTTGCAATGAATTATCTATCTAGGATGGTTAATTACTATTACAATACACATTCAAATGTCAAATTTAAAGCTAGAGGGAGTGGATTGGTGCTCCTTCTTGCGTATGCTGATGATTTCATTTTATTTTATAATACGAGTAAGAGAAACATCAAACAACTCCATAAGCTCCTCCTTAAATTTAAGAAGTTATATGGAATGATATTTAATATAGAATAAATGTGAATTCTATCTTATTAAAGAGATCCCTTTGGATAGAATTAGTTGGTTGATATCATATACTGGTTTAAGGGTAAGCAATTTCTCTCTAAAATATCTTGGAGTTAAACTTAATGCTGTTAAAAAAAGGAACCTATTGTTTGGAGAGGTGTTTCATAAAATTTTGAACAAATTCCAGAGCCAAGAAAATTTATTCTTATTCTTTGGTGGCCGGCTTACTCTTCTCCAAAGTGTGCTAACAACTCTTGCACTTTTTATTCCGCAAGTGGTGAAAATGACAACCAGCATGCAATCAAAAATGGAAAAAAAATATTTAATAAATTTCCTTGGGCTAGTCATGTCCATAGGATAAATTGGACTTGTTGGAGCAAGCTCTGTAACCCAAAAAAAGAGTTTGGATTGGGTTTTAGAACCTTCAAACAATCTATAGAGATCAACTACTGTAAATTATGGATCAAGATGAGAATAAACATGGGTCTTTGGGCTCATTTTATGATGATGGAATATTTCAATCATTTCCATCCTTACTTGTTACTACTTAATTGGGGGACTCTTTAGTGTGGAAAGAAATGTTGAAAGTGAAAGATAAAGCCAAGGATTTAATTACCTGGGAGCTTGGGGAGGGCCACCTTAATTTTTGGTTAGATGATTGGGCATTGGTTAACCCCTTAAAGAATTTCTCCAAATCTGATATTGATGGCAAGCTAAAAATTTGTGATACCTAGATTGATAATTAATAGAATGAGCAAAAGATTTATGAGCTCTTACAGGATCACATTGTGAAGTATATCTCTACTATACCTATTGACAAGTCAGGGGTTGATTTCCTCCATATCAAGAAGCAGTAAACCTCTCATTAATCAAGGATGTTGCTAAAAAACTATTTGGGAATCAGACTCGGGAGAAAGGTACAACAATTGGATTGATTTCTTGAAGCCCTCCCAATTTTTCTTTCTTTTTTTTTGCATGGAGATTTAATTTCAGATTACTACCAATTGATGATATTCTGAAACTTAAATGGGTTCAGATTTCCCTCTATATGACTATTATGTAAGCTTGAGGAGGAGTTTTCTCACATCTTTTTTTCTTGTGCAGGTTTACGATAACTAGTTGGAGAAACTTATGCCAACTATTTAATATACTTATGCCAAGTGATGGATATGTTTCCATGGAGCAATGTATAGACTGTTAGAGATAGATGAATAATCCTTGACACATTCAAAGCTTCATTCCTGTCATTTTTATGCTAGTTCATCTGGTTGGAGAGAAAATACATAAAACAACAAGAAGAGCTACACCGAATTGACAAAATTACTATCAACATAAAATCATTTCAATCCAAATCACTAAATTATAGGAAATCTGATAGACTTATTCAAGGAATGGACAAGTTTTTCTCTTCTCTTGCAAACATTCATTCTGACAGAAAAATAAACTATGCGTTACTAAATGACATCAACTTATCTTTCTCTTTGTTATAGCCAGTGTTCATGGGAGTTTTAAGTCCTCTGTTGTTGGCGTTGGGGGAATTTTCAGAGATAAGGATGAGAATTGTTTGACTAACTTTGATAAACCATATCTCCCAATTTCAACTCAAATTATTGAATTTATGGTTGTTTTCTACTGTTTCGTGGTGGCAAAGAGACTGAAGCTATGAAATTTAGTTATTAAAAGAAATTTTTTGACTGTCTTTTAAGCTTATATAAGATAAATGGATGTATGTGGGAAGCTTTAATCATTTCAAAAAAAAATTTAATGTTACTTCCTTTTTTCAACCTGAGGTGATCTTATACACTTATATTCTGTTTGGGGCAGCTGTAGCTTATTGAATAATCTGCTGATAAACTGATTAAAAATAATCTGTTGATAAGCTAAGTGCGATAGTTAATACAAATTTTTATTTGTTGGAAAAGCCATACCCCTGACAATAAGCTGCCTAGATAGGTGCGGTGTGAAAATGTTGTTTTCAGCGTTTTGAAAACGCATAAGCTGTCAAAACGCAGTTTACCCAAACATGTCAGGTGCGTTTTCAAAACGCCACCACACCAAATAAGCTGCCCCAAACGGGCCCTTAGAGAGGCCAATTGTCCTGCATATTTCCTGGCTAAGTTGGGAGCTTCAATAACATCTTTCTCTATGGTTTCAATTTCTAAGAAGCTCGGATTTTTGATTCACGGGGATAGTTTAGATTTACCGTTTATTAAAATCATTTCTTAATTCTTTCTTTTCGTAATGTTGGTTCGATCATCAATATATCTATAAAAATTGTGAATCTACATATATCTATAAAAATTACATATATCTATAAAAACTATAAATTCTATATAGGAGCTTCTACAAATACAACACCCTAAACTTTCACATTTATCTATCTCATACCAAAACTTTTATAATTACAAACATCATATGAAAAGTAACACTCATTATCACCTTTTAATAGTCAAATTCATCTTTTCATCTATAGGTAAAGTGCTATATGTATAACAATAAACTTTGGGCGTGAGATAGGTAAACCCATATGACTTGGGTTCTATGTATGTAATTTTCCTTTTTATATAATACGAGCAGCGAATGAATATTTCAGACATTCATCCACATACGACACTTTCAAAACACCAACTTTAAACAACAGGTTTTTTTAAGTAGCTTTCAAACTGATATTTGGTATAACTATGTTCAAAACAAACACACCCTATAATATTAAGTTACACCAAAAATCATTCATGAGTTTCATAGCCAAATTTGTAATACAAATCTAAATCTTTTGCCTTTTTGAAATGTGGGCAAAGCCCATTTGGGCGCCGTTTTATCCATATCCGCATACTTATTTTCTCTACGTGTCATTGATGGATTAGCAGTCGTGCGATAGCAGTGCCCCAGTGTTTGCCTTCGAATCTCCATGGACGAAGGAATAACTTTCAGCTCGTCCGCAACAGAATGGATGCAAGCCCTAATTAGTTTAAATCTTTCAAGCCCTCCACAAAATGTCCGTTCTTGCATTCTCGGTGCCTATCACGCCTTCAAGGCACTCTCTCTGTCTCTCTCATTTTTCTTCCTCTGGTGCAGACCCTAGTTTTGTAAAGCATGAAAGTCCTTGTTGGGCTCAATTACTGGTTTTTTTGGATAATGAAATTGGTTTTATTGTTTTTTTTTTCATTTTCATTATTTATACTACAAAATTGTTGAAGGAATCTGCATTATGTAAATGATTTCTGCTTTAATCACTCCTACAGCTTCCTTTTAGAGTGAAACAGAGATGTTTCGATTCTCTTAGATAGGGTTTATTGACATCTAGGGCTTTAATTGATTTACTATGTCCGCTGTAGATCCAAGGCTAGTTTATTAATGAGGCGTTTGAGAAATGTCAGCGGAAAATCATATTGGAAGAGAACTCTTATGATCAGTGCTGAAGTGAAATATGTGAATGGAGAGGAGGCAAAAAGGCTTATCGACGAAGAAGGGTACAGCATTTTGGATATTCGCGATAAAACACAGTATGACCGAGCTCACATCAATTCATGCCGGCATATTCCTCTATTTATTGAGAACAATGACAATGACATCGGTATATTCATCTCATCTGATTGAATTACTTCTGGTGTTCATAAAGGAAGAAGGAGAAAAAGAGACTGACATTTTCTTTTAATTTTGTCGCAGGGACAATAGTGAAGAGGACGATACACAACAATTTTGTTGGAATTCTATTTGGTTTGCCATTCACGAAGCTTAACCCTGAATTTGTTGAAGCGGTTAAGAGTCAATTCCCTTCTGATAGCAAATTATTGGTGGTTTGCCAGGAGGGTTTGAGGTTAGTTATCTGATTAAGAATGCCTGTATATATAAACCTGCATGTTCAAAAAATAATAATAAAGAAAGAGATGTATCTACCTAATTATAAGGATATTTAATGTATTTCGAGTTAAATCAAATGAGTCATCATTTAATCAAAGTCAATAGATTTATGTTCTGAGGCTCTGATTAATATTCGAGCAATTTTTTAGTAAGTTTCAAATTTAAGGCATGATTACCAACCTTATCTCCATCATAAACTACCTCTCTATATCAATTTTTCTCCCCATTCTTGTGTTTTAACCTCCATCTAGGTTGAAGTAGCATTGCTTTACTCACATTCATGGAAGAGCTAAACATGGCTGATTGAGTTGCATCTATGGTGTGCCAAAACCCTATTTATCCCAAGAAACACTATTAACTTAAGGAGGTATCCAGGGTTCCCCTCAATTTTGGTGGCATTTCATACGCTTGAAACTTAAAATTTATGTAATTTTTTTGATCTGTTTTACAGATAATTTAATTTTCCAAGTTTATCCACTGCATATATTTATAGCACCAAAAATCTTACTACATATCAAATCAATTTACTACTTTCTTCAATGTAGATATTACAGCTGAGCATCCATCTTGATCGTAATATGAACATAAGCTAAGAATAAGCTTAGGTGATAGCAATAATATATTTCATAAGGACAAGATTAGAGTTTGGTACATTTAGTATGAAAGGATTTTATTTCCAGGATTTTTATTACTGATCGAGTTTTAGATATGACCTGAAAATCATTACTTCTGTATGACATTTGGAACCCAAAGCCCATTAATAACTCTTCACACTTTTCAGTTTTTAGCTTAGTAACTTCTCCGTTTGAAACAATCATATTTTTAAAGATTACAATTGAAATTACAATATGAAAAATCATATTTTTGTAGATTAAACTTGAAATTACTGCAGCTTTCTTGCGGTGAGTGCAATGGCTAAATTATTTATTTATTTATTTATTTTTGTAGCTTAAGCTGAATTTTAATCAACCAAGTTGTAATGCAACGTGTATACAGTTTGAACCACAAATACTTGGCGATAATACTAATGATAATTATAACTCTTTGTAATCATCCTTAGTATCATCCCCTCGGGTTTATGAATCCCGTTCTTCAGGCAATTTTTATCCAGTATTGTCTGTGTTGTTAACCCTTCTTTTTTGTAAATTATTATGAAAATTTCAGCTATGTTATATTAGACCTACTCTATCTCTTCTCATTAATAGCTTATTGTAAAAACTTCTATGTCTATTTCCATGTTGATCTACCTTAACGTTCTTAATTTCTTATACTAGTTCTTATATTCTTATACTAGCAAGTTTCTTGAATTCCTAAACAGAAAAAGGTTATCATAAATGCAATGATGTAATCCTTCAGTTTAGCTTTACTAATGATGGAAAAAAATTTGATACACAACTTTATTATTCAACTTAGTGCTAGCACAGGAACCATACCTGTTTTTATTATGCTTGCTTCTAATCATGAATCTTCCATTCTATTTATTTTTTCTTATTCTAACCCTTCTTTCCTATGAGTACTAAAGCTACTTATGTGCCTGGTTCTTTGACACTAAAGATCAGCGGTTGCGGCAAGTAAGCTTGAGAGTGAAGGGTTTCAATATATTTCCTGCATTACATCAGGACTACAATCATTAAAGCCAGGTTATGAAGTTCATGAACTGTGTTTAATGCATTAATTCTCTAAAAAATTTGCACACATACCACATATTTTTTATGTATTTACATATCTAACACCCAAATTTCGATATTTACACTCTTAACACCTTGATGTCATAAATCTATACCTGAAAAAGGTGCATTTCACTTTCAAAAGCACAATAATGGTGGTATTTTTTATGTGTTCTTAATGATTTGAGTTGTATGCATGTAAGTATGAATGTTTAGGTGTTAGATATGTAAAACATATAAGAAATGTGTGGTGTATACGTAATTGCCCCTATTTCTTTTCTAGATTTCTATAGAAAATACTTGTTCTTGTTCAAGACTAACTGTGTGACGAATCCGTTAATTCAGGAACCTTTGAATCTACTGGCACTGTTGAACTCCAAAATGCTGGAAAAGCTGGCCTTGTGACTATCCAAGGGAAAATCTCTGTTGTACTTGGGACTGTGCTAATCTGTATGTCATTAAGTATCGTTCATGTTAAAGGATTATCATGACATAAGCTTTAAATGTGAAGCGAAATCTGAAAGCATTAAGAGTTTTTAATTCTAATCCATGACTTCTGGAATTCTAAGGACTTGTTTGGGATCAATTTTGTTTTTTATTTTGTTCTAAAAACTTGTTTGTTTAATGTGTTTTTTACATGTTTTTTATTTTTTATTTTTAAAAAATAATTAATATATTTTGAAAATACTCAATACAACTTTTAGGCATTTTGAGAGTTGTTATAAACATTCACATCTTAATAAAATATGCCAAAGATGTTAGTTTCAAATCACAACGTAAAGAAAACAAATATATATATAACAACCCCTAAGTTGCCGTTTAGGGTCACTTTTGTTTTTTATTTTTATTTGTTAATTTTGTTTTGTTTATGTCTTTACTTGAAACAAAACAAATGTGGTACCTTATGTCATGTTTTATTGTTTTTAAAAATACTCAAAACAACTTTTAGATGTTTTAGTGTTTTTAAAAACAAATTAATTTGTTTTTGAAAACAAAAAATAAAAACTTGAAAATAATGCACTAAACAAACATAGTTTTAAAATAAAAGCAAAAACAAAAGTAATCCCAAACAAGCCCTAATTATTATTTACTCCCTGTTATGTTTTATTCTTATTTTTTGAGTCTCTGTTGTCTCGTGTGTGCAGGTGCCCTTCTTTTTATAACATTGTTCCCAGATCAAGCAGAGAAGATACTTCAAGCAAACCCGCAAGATCGTTCTTAAATGTTCTGTCTCGCAATGTTTGGAGGCTTACAAAGCCCACTCTTGATATGACTTGCAGGATTCTTGTTCAGGTTAGAAATTATCATTTATTTTCTGTTGAAAATAGTCCAATCTTTTACGTAGAAGGCAATGATGGTGTCTTTTGACTAATCACTTCTCTGCTGGGAAGCTTATGTGGTCTCCATTAAAACAGGAGGTATGAAAATTTAAAATTGATATTGTTATTGTTTTGGTTCTGGTTGATACTCTCATTGATAAATTACTTGAGAAGATTAGTCAAAGTCATTGGTTTTACTGAAGCTGTTGCATTATCTGACAAATATGTTTTATCGTAGCAGTAGTTGATTAAAAAAAATCAGACCTCAATCAGACCTCATTGGCTTTTTTAATTAGATTATGAGTCATTTTCTTGTTATTTTTGGGAGTAACCTAACATAAACTTACTTATATGTAGTGGAACCAGGAAGTGAATAAATAATCTTTCATCTCCTCCTACATGAAATTTTTATCTCATCACTGTTTTTGAACACATGCTATTGAAAATGCATTTATTAGTCTGCTCTTGCTTTTCTTCTTCTATGATTTTAGGTGCATTAACATACATACCAACACAATTCTTTTGTAATTACGTATCTAAAACTTAAGCTTTAATATTTACATGCATGCCACTCAAATTTTTTTAACATCACATAAGAAATGCCACAATCATTATCTTTTTAAAAATTAAATACACATTTTCATGCGTAAATTTATGACACCAAAGTGTTATAAGTGTAAATATCAATTGCGTAAATTTATGACACCAGAGTGTTATAAGTGTAAATATCAAATTTCAAGTGTTGGATATGTAAATATACATGAATTGTGTGATATGTAAGTAAATTTCCCGTGATTTTATAAGGCTATGATCAATGAATTTTTTTACTCCTTTTTTTATTTTCGTCTTATTTTAGCCAATTCATCTGGTGTGGGGTTAACTTTCTTTGATTCCACTTCATACACCTGCTAACTTTAGCCGTTTATTGTTCTCCTTTTGGGTGGAATTTTGGAGGTTGACAAGAACAGTATCGTTCTAACTGGTTCTCATGCTATGAATTGATCTCTCCATTGAAAATAGGCAAGCTTCAGGCCTATTGAAAATAGATGGAGCAAAGTAAGTTTTTTTTTCCCCATATTAAAATTAAGACTGATTTCTACATATGATACTGAAATATCCCTTATTCATAAAACTACCATCCTTCTAAAAAAATTAAATAGCGTACCCATATTTTGCACATGTTACTGTCAAAACTTGTTGAGAATCTGACAACAGTGGAAAATAGAAATTATGATTTTGTTGTGAGTTGTGATATTCGGGCATGAATTTTTCAAATGGAGATGATGCGCTGATTTCACGGATAATCAAAATTTAATGGGGTATATAAAAAATTACCCTAAAAGTAATTATGGTTGAATCTTTTCAATGTTGACCATACCACCTTTCACTCAAACAAAAAGCTCAATGTTAAAAGTTGATACCTTCATTCTGAGTGGATAACAGGTTACCAATCAAAAATGCATCTGACCAAATGAAATATTGAACCAGAAGTTTTCAATCTTTTTGAAGAAGATTAATTCCTCATGGAAAAATGGTTTCCAACACATTCAAAAGAAAATGTTTCTTTTAAAAATTATTTATGTTTTAACCATCGTTTTGGTTATGAAAAAGGAAACGTTACTATAATTTTTGTGATTGTGACTAACATGGAAATCTTAAGAGCTATTCATGTTAGGATCTCATCTACTTCAAAGAAGATCGGACAATCACATTCATCAATTAATCTCTTAATTTTGTTTCACGACTAATTTTTTTCTAAGAAGTTTTTATCCTTTTCTAGAATGTCATCTAATCTCTGATCATCCAAAGTATACCTTATGATCAGTGAGATTTGTAGATCGTTTAAGCTAAAGATTCTATTATATATTGTTCTACCGGTTAAATTGAATGGTTCTATTGTGCCTTGTTATGAGTGAATGTTTAAAATGTTGGATGGCGATGAAAGCTCATCAACCTGATAGCTCTAATTACTTGCTTAAATGGCTGAATTTCATTCATGGACTACTCAGCTTGTTCGACCGCTTTTGTGTTTTGCTAGCTCTGACCTCTGCATATCCTAATCCAGCTTGACACAACTTTGTTCATCGAAATCATCTTCAGCAATCTAGAGATCAATGGGGACTAATCCCTTACTCGGCTTTCTATGTACCATTTTATTAAATCTAAATATATTAACTTGAACAGATTTTCTTAAGTCCAAGACTAACAAATTCCTTAATGAATCAAACAATTTTTTTCATACACAATTTAAACTCCCTTCGTTCGGATAACTTGATACAACTGCCATCTTATTTCAGTTTCCTCCAAAGGTAAATGTCGATAGAAATTAAATTATCCTGACATATAGTCTTTTTCTCAAGAAAAATTAAGTAAGAAGTAAGAAGCAGCCACCATACATCTGGATATTCAACTCAAAAGATCTAAACAATCTTTTTATGCTCTCCAGCAGCAGTTCTTACAGAAGCTTGTCAAAAAAGCTTATGATTTTGGTCTAGTATATCCTTTAGAGTTGACACATTGGTTTGAGTATGATTTGAGCTCTGATTCAATGCTGTACAATTGTTGAGCAGGAGTGGCCGCCTATTTTGATTCCTCTTCCAGTTCTTGGTGTACTTTCTCATGTTTGTGAATTGATGAACTAAGGTTGGCGCTGTTTAATAGAAAGAAGCTTGCATGCTGATTTTGAATTTTTCTGCATACCATTTGAGGGTCACGCTTCTTCTTAAGTTCTTCCACTTGGGTACGTTTATGGTCCATTTTGGGTGATTGCCGTTTCTTGAATCCTAACTGTCTTTTTGTGGAACACGCTGAGGGTTAGAGCCTAGAGAAGAAGAGTGAAAGAGAGATATCTAAGGAATGTAAGAGAATCTACAAATGTCAAAATCTCCCAGAGTAAAGATCCCAAAAGGTCCATTTATTGATTTCATGATGTCCTATTTATAGATGTCCGGAAATACAAGTATATGTAAGGAAAGAGCATTTTCCATAACTGTCTGAATGATTGAATTCTAATTACATGGTAATAAAAATAAAGGCGACGCATAATCGATGTGTAGGTCGTCGCCGCGCATAGGTATCGGTCGATCTTATCTTCTTGGCAATTGGGTTGCTTGATCAGGGTGTGTGGCCCTTTGCTAGCGGTCTCATTATCGGTAACTTTGTCGATTGATGAAAGATCACGTTGGCCTGTTTTGTCGGTCGATATTTCGTCTTCTTGATTTTATCTTTAAGATGCATTTTCTCTGAAGTCAAAATTGGGTTGTACATCAGTTTTTCTCTACTTAGCTGCAAAATTCTTGTCTTATTCTCTCAAGAAGGAGAAAATTTTGTATACTTAAGAAGTACGCAGCTGCGTATGTCAGGGAGGTTATCCAAAGGGTATTGGGGGATTATATCCGCGTTATACTCCCTGTAACCTACCTGTAACCTACAAATATATGAAAACAGAAGCGCGAAACTTATTAGAAGGTACAAGTATGTTACATGGAGGTTACAGGTGGAGGGTTACAGGGGGTATAACGCGGATATAACCCCCTAATACCCTTTGAATAACCTTCCTGACGTACGTTGCGCTGCGTACGTCTTACGTACTCAAATTTTTCTCCTCAAGAAGCCAACAAATTGATCACTTGCTTTTGTTGAGCTTGAAAGTTGGACTTATCAAAGTGGGATTGTAATTAGAAAATTTAAGGATGTGAAAATGAGATGGACACTTAAACCGAATCTAGTGTTGAACTAAATGAGATAATAAAAATAAAATTTATTTTAATATTATTTAAATGATGAAATAATCTAAATATGTGATAAAAAAATAAATTGAACTCGTATACAAGTTATATTTTCATTAATTGTAAATTTAAAGTTTGATCTGAAGCTCATATAATTATGTGTATTATAAATTTAGCTTTATGATATATATATATATATTCGAATGTGTACATAGATGTGTGTGTGGCCGAATTTTTCATTCTTACAACCCAAATCAAATTTCAGCTTTTATTGCTTCAATCACACATCATAATATGAGCATGCTATAGACAATTCTGATGTGTTAGGAGAGTAGAAGTTTTAGATTTGACTTATGTTAAGAAAGGTAAAGGTAGACCCAAAAAGACCTGGGCATATTGTATAAAAAAATGATCTTAATTTATTAGAATTAAAAGAAAATATAACACTCAACAGGATGCCATGAAGAAAAAGGAATCATGTAGCGGGATAAAGTCATGTTGTTGTTGTTCAGTCGATCCTCATGATGCCATGGTAGTTAATTGTACACACCAATGCTGCCCAAACCAAGAAAATAGCTTTATTTGTATGTCAAATATGATAGATTATTGTAAATTAAGATAATGTATGCCTTTGAACCAAGAATATGATTGATGCTTTTTTTTTTTAATGAAAAATAGAGATAGAGCTTTATAGCCTAAAGCAAACACAGGAGTAAAACAGCTGGGAAGAATGGTAACTTATCCGACTAAAAATGATGGATGACATTGATATCAGATAACAATATATGTTGTATCCATGTACTTGTTAACAGTATTTAAAATAAAGAAATCATTAAAAGCAACTGTTGTAGAAAAAGATGATGAAATTTATACATCAAAGTTGTGCTTCGCTCCGTAGTGGGTTCTGCCCCTGCATGAATGTCTATTTTCAGGCGTTGGAGGCGAACTTTTTAGGGTACAAAAAGATAGAGGAATATATGGCATTGGCAGCAAGATCCTGAAATATAGGTGCAATTCAATAATATATATATCTATATATATATCACAGTGCATTGAAAAATTTTAGATGGATATGTCCCAAAGTTATGTCTCCCGTCATAATCATCTTGATAGTTACATTGTATTTGTCTAGGACATAATTTAAATTAATTTAATTAAATAGTATCATTTATTATTATTTTAACTCAAATAGTATGTCTTACTTGGTTAATATGACTCTAATACCAATTTGTTGTAGACAACTACAAATCTAGGGTTACCAATGTAACCTAGGATGAAATACAAAATGAAAACTTAAAAAGACACAATCCATGGGCTGACCACTATTTATTTTCACAGCAAACAGCTCAACAAGGTTCTTTCATTTCAAAAAATAATTCAATAGTTCATTAAATTGCAAGTCATGATGGAAGCTCGCTAAATCTCAGTGTGAGCTTACTGAAGAAAGTTTTCATTAGAATAGTGGTCGTCCATGGCAGAAAAGAAGATGCATGGCTTGTTTTGAGAATCATGAAACATGATAAGGGCTTGTGCTGAAGAAAATTTTCATGAGACT